CGGCAGACACCCTGGAGCGCACTCCCCCAGTCCGGGAGGCGGTGGGCATGGGGTGCCAGCTCGGAATTCCAAGCTGCCCGGGCAGGAAGTTTGCCATTCAAGTCGCTCTCCTGACCTGCGAAACGCGCGCTCAGACACTCCTGCGTCTGGCTCAACAGATGGGGCCGCTTTGAATAAAGCAAATCAAGGAAGAGGCGCTCGGGCTGGCCGGGTCGGACACATTACAAACCCCGCTTTGCAGGAGGCTCGGCTGCTAGTTAATTAACCGCCGACACCGGCGGGAGCGGGACAGCGAGTCCTAGGAAATGTCTGCGGATGCGACTGATCCGTTTTACCTCCACACAGACCTGCCCGCAAACACACCCACTTTCACTGACGGCCTGGCTGGGCCCAGGTTCTTCCTCTGTAAAGTGGGGGTGCGGGTACTTTTACTCTGCAGACCGGGAAAGGGCCGGCGCTCAGCAGGGAGGCCTCCCAGCGCGAGGCCCTGTTCTCCCCGAGCTTCTCGGCGGCAGGGCACCGTGTCCTTGGACCAAGACCTGTCCCGGCCCTGGCCGGTTTGGCTCAGTGGATAAAGCATCTAGACTCTGAAATCAATAATTTTTAAAAACACACACACCTGTCCCATCAGAGGTGTTCACTGTGGTCTGGCCCACACCTGCCTTAGGCGCTGGGCAGCCGCTGCATCGCCCTCCGCCTGCGACCTGCACGGAGGGGTCAGCCCTGCGAGGACACCTGGCGAATGTGACCTCGGACTCCGCCTCCTCCAGACTCGCCCTGCGCTTCTCCGGCAGGACAGCTGTTCTGCTCTCCCGGATTGCACCGTCCTTATCTGTGCTCTGCACATCCTCCCACACCCACCGCAGCGGGCAAGGCCAAGCACTCCCACAGAAGCCAGCCAACTCTCCGCCCGCTCCGCTCCTCCGGCTGGGCCGCTAGAAACGCATCGCCAGGTCCGATGACAGAGCACGTGCGGGAGTGCACCGAGGAACAGGGCAGGCCTGCCAGACCCGGAAGGAACTCGGGAAATAGGAGTTGAATCTTGAAACTTGTAAAGTCATCGGAACTCAATGACCTAAGGAAGTAGAAGAATATGTCCACTGCCTTTTCCCCTCGATCCTGTAAGGCAGCTTAATTTCTTTCAAAGTATCCTTTTCAATGTTCACGTTTTTAAATCTTTAATTATTCTTCACTTCCTTCTTACCAATACTCCCCGATTTAAATGGGGATATCACAGTGAACTGCACTTGAAAAATGTGTTTTTGTTCTTGAAAACAGTTCAAAGAAACAGGTCACAGAAAATGAAATTACTCATCCACACTTAAAAAGAGGGAAAAAAATACAAAAATTCTTTTGAGGCAAGTTCCTCTGATAAATGTGTGTTTCCACAAATTCCTGAACTTCTCAGCAGAGCCATTGGTTGGGACCCAGAGACCCAGAGCCGCCTCCTCCTGAAACAGCAGGACAGTGAAAGCGGCCGTGCTCCGGGAGCTGGCTGCCTCGGTTCTCGTCTTGGTGACGCTGGCATCCAGGTGTTGGTAAGAAAGGGCGGTTCGGTAAAAAAATGCATAACCCCAAGCAATAGCTTCAGTGTAGCAAGCATGTTTGAGTATTTAAAAGTACTGTCATTTGTATTTCAGAGTTTTCCAAATAAGAAACTATATTAACAGTGGTTTACCTCTGGGCGGGTAAGATTCTATGTCTTTTGGGTTCTTTTTGCTTATCTTATGTGATTTTTTTCCTATATTATAAACTAGAGGCCCGGTGTACGAAATTCATGCACGGGGGGGGGAGGGTATCCCTCAGCCCAGCCTGCACCCTCTCCAATCTGGGACCTCTGGCTCCTAACCACTCATCTGCCTGCCTGCCTGCCTGCCTGCTTGCCTG